AGGGAGACAATGCTGGAAAGATCAGCTGGGACCAAAGCACAAAAGCAGTTCCAGCTTTCTGCCTAACCTTTTCCCAGCTGTCCTTCCTGAACATGGTCTGCTCTGGCCAGGGACTCATTAGGAGCAAGAAGACCATGCATGGTGGGGCTTCCTGCTTCCAGCCCCCCACAGTGCCTAACCTGGGGAGTGCTCAGGTAATACGATATATGCTGAATTAGGTTAGATGAAGGGACTAGGACATCATGTTTTAGCACATTTGATGACTGTGCCTTACTATCCATGTGTCCAGGTCTAGGTACTTGATGGTAGGAACTCCTCTTTGGAAACTTTGGAAGAATCAATGCAACTCTTCCATCTAATAGCCTTTATTTATAAATAGGAATTTTAGAAACACAAGGTCAATAACCACAAAGCATACAATCCAGTTAGTATTTAAAAGAAATAAATAATTAGCCATCTTAGCTTTGTAAAAATTTTTTTTTTTTTAAGGTTTTATAAAACTACCCAGGTCACTCAGGGTCAAGCAGATTTTAATCGTGCTGCTGCACAGATTTGCCATTGGTAAGAATCCTGCTCCTTTACCATCTAGCACCTGCCTACCTGTGCCTCAGCTGCCTCTGGGCTCTGCAGCAGTTGACATGCAGTTGCTCAGAGCAAGCCCACTAAAAACATGATTATAGAAACTGTTTGGCTTCCGGTTATCCCTCAGATTTTCCTTATCCAGACATGTTGGGAATAGTGCTTGGTAATACCACTATTTAGGTTGGATGGGCTCTTGTTTGTTATTGGCTAAGAAGAGGTCAACTCAAAGAAACCAAGGATCAGGTCAAATTTCTAAGCCTTGGCCCTTGTGGACTGTATAGCTGCCTCTAAGCTCTTTCTCCTTTCCTCACTTAGGGCATTTGAATCCTAGGAAATCGGGACTGGTCCCAGGAGGTAGCTCCCAGTCCAGGATCCCACCTTGAGGAAAGTAAATCTTGTTTCCAATATTTAGATCAAGTCTTCCCTCTGGAAGAGGATCTTTTTAAGAGCTGAAAAAGTGTCTGGCATGACTTCCACCTTGTCCTAAAGAGTGGATATTTTAACCAAAGGCAAGGAGAAGTATAACATATAAGAAAGAAAAAGTTGGTACAAAAAAGGCAGGGAGGAAAAGAATGAGGGAATTCTGAAAAAAGGTGCAATGGGACCCCAGATAAAGGGATTTGTGAGTTTCTCCTCTCTCAAGGGCTAACAATTCTCTCTAATCCCACTTCTATGAGTCTTCAATCTACCATTATATAAAAAGAAAATGAAGATGAGGAACAAGGTTTCTCTTGGGTTTGGTTGTGCTATCTTAGTAACTTCAACTTTATTATTTCAGGAGTAGCTATTACTGGACTGAAAATGTCATACTATAACAGAACAGAGACCAGGGCATGTGATATAAAATTCTAGAATCCTATGATAGGAATGGGAGCTCTGGTAGCATAGTGGCTAAGGCACTTGATTGCTAACCAGAAGGCTGGCGGTTCAAACCCACCAGCCACTCCTCGGAAGGAAGATGGGGCAATCTACTTCCGTAGTGATACTGCCTCGGAAACCCAAGGAGGGGTCGCTATGAGTCGGGTCCGACTCGATGGCAAATAACAACAACAACAAATGATAGGAATTCAAAAAAACAACAACAAACATCTTAATTCAGGGTGTAGGAAAGTCATTGTATAACTCCTATGGCAGTGGTCCTCAATCAGGAGATGTCTGGCAATGTGTGTGGAGATATTTTGGATTGCCATAATTGGAGGAATGCTACTGGGTATCTAAGGCTATAAATCTTTATGGAAGCAGACTGCCTCATCTTCCTCCTGCAGAGTGGCTGGTAGGTTCAAATCACTGACCTTTTACTGCATCACCAAAAGCTCCTTAGGTGCATAGCAGGCTCCAGTTAAACAAGTCAGTCCCAACTGCCCCTTTTGGTTAAACCTTAGATCCTCCTCCCAAAGTCCATGTACTTTCCTTCCCAGAGCACTTCCTGAACATTACCTTGAACCTGGCAGAATTTGCTGACATCACAGTTCTTGTCAACAGCCACAAAAAAAAAAACCTGAATAAATCAGACCCTAATTACAAACATGTCTCAGGGGAAGAAGAATCTACCAAGGATTGGGTCCAAACTGCTCAAGGTTCATATTGACAAACAGGCTGGCCCCATAAACCTGAAACTGGACGATCCAGCAGCTTGAGGCTGCTCCAGGTTGGGTACAGGAAGGCCCACGTGAGTGTAGTGCCTGTGGAGGATGAGGTGTGGGGCTTTGCTTTCTTGGGAAAGAGCCCCCTTGCTCCCTGTGTCTTTGGCAAGTGAGAAGGAAGAGAGAATTGTGGCCAAGTTTCTATAATCACCCTCCAAATGAACAGATTTGCCTTGGACTGCTAGGGATTCTTACTCCAAGGAGAGAGCAGGGCCCAGGTGGGCCTCTTGGAAGCAAAGCAGCAGCTCTAAGCATCTGTGCACCGAGGGGCAGAGCCAAAGTTGCATTTGGGCTTGCATCTTGATGTCCTAGGCTAGGAGTCGGTCTGCAAGCTATTTCTAAGAGGTTCCCAAGCTGCCCTGACCAGACTGAAAGGGTCTATTGAAGCATTCTGCTACAAGCCTGACTGCACTGCCCCCTCTACAAGCAGCAACTTAGACCTGAGCCAGTCTAAGAAGATGGCTAATTATCCCCATCATTACATCTGGGGGTTACTCTTGGATGTCAGACTCAATTTCCTGCATGGTTTCTTCCAATCCTCTGTAACTGCCCTCAAACACTGTCCCTGCAACGTAAAGTCAGGATTGGCAGTTGTTAGTGTCCACTTAGAATCACAATGCAATGCCTTATCTAACCCCCTCGTCTATGGCTAAGGAAATCAAGGCCAAAGAAGATGTGATTTACCTACATCACACAGTCAGAAGAAAATAAAGCCAGGCCTTGACCTTGGGTCTCCTGATTATATTGTCAAACCAAAAAAAAAACCTAACTCCCTGCTGTCGAGTCGGGTCCAACTCATAGCGACCCCTCCTTGGTTTCCAAGGAGTATCACTACAGAAGTAGATTGTCCCATCTTCCTTTCAAAGAGTGGCTGGTGGGTTTGATTTGCCAGCCTTCTGGTTAGCAGTCAAATGCCTCAAGCACTATGCCACCAGAGCTCCTATGATGTTGTCAAGTCGATTTCTACTTATAGTGACCCCATGTGACAGAGTAGAACTGTCCCATAAGTTTTCTAGGCTGTGATCTTAATGGGAGCAGATTGCCAGATCTTTCTCCCTTGGAATAGCTACATGGGTTTGAACTGCCAATCTTTCAGTTAGCAGGCAAACACTAACCGTTGTGCCTCCAAGGCTCCTTCTATTGACTGTAGGAAGAATACTTGTTGCCCTACTCCCTCTGACTTGGTCTTGTATAGACTAGCTCATAAAACAGAGCTGATAATAGAGTCCTTGCCTCCCAAGCAGAATTCTACCGGATCAGTGTGGCCAAAGTCCCTGATCTTCAGGCAGAATTTTTAGGTTTTCAATTTTATTTAAAAATGGAAGAGTTTCAACTTAACCCTTGAGTACTACATATTCCATTTAAAAGAATGAGAAAAGAGAAAGCTACATCCAGAATAGATTACAAAGGGGTAATTCTAATTCTGTGCATCCTAAAGCATTTCCTGGAAAAGAAGTTGGTACTCACCAGCATGTACGTTCTCAATTCTTGGGAAGGGCCACTGTTGACAGATTCAGTTTTCAGACAGAGAAACTGAGGGAAAGATTAACTAACGGTTTCTGGAGAGGAGAATACAAAAGATGGATTCTTGGGCAGCTGCTGATTAAGTAACTGAAAGAGAAGGCCATAATTCTGACCATATGTATGGTCAGTTCAGAAGGTCATGTGTCTATAGCTTTTCTGCAAGGACCTCAGAAAAACAACCTCCAGCTAAGTTTAGGAGGGGATAGTTATAATCTCATAATATCAGAAAGGAGCACCAACAAAGGGGCACCAGGTAAGAAGAGAAGACCCAATTCTCTGACAAGTGGTTTAATGAGTTTTCTAAATATGAATGCCTGGCCCAGTTCAGTCCACAAGTGATGAAGATGGTTGAAGTGAAATTTCCACAGGACCTTCCCTGCTTCTGACTACCTGAGATTCCCAAGCTGGGAGCCACTCAAGTGAACTCTAAGGTTTAAAGAAGGATGTGGATTTCAAGAATGCCCTCTTGGCCCCTTCCCTGACCCCCAGTTTCCAGCAGTAGAGAAAGTAGAAATGAAATGTTAAATTCCTTCTGGGGAGTTACGGTTATAAGTTTAAAAGGAAGAACTGAGCTCTTGTAGCATTAAGAATAAACCAGGCTATTAAGCTCCATTTGCTGTAGAATATGTGGCTGTGTATATCCAAGCTCAGGAAAAGATATGACCAAAGGGCAGTCAAGGAGGTGTTTTCTTGCCTCCAGCGCCCTGCTACATTTACAATATGAACTGCTTGCAGCCACTGAAGGACTGTGTCCCTCTATCTTATGTTTAACAAAGGAGCATCCTTAGGTGGGGCTGGAGGTGCTGTGAATTGCCTGGCAAGGTACAAGATGGGGGAGGCTGTAGAAACAGAGTGTGGATGCCAGGAAAGCCTAGGATGAGAAGCACAAAGTTCGATCTCATGAAAAGGATCCTCATGTGTCTTAGTAGAAAGGGATAACTCTCCTGAGCAGAAAGGTTCCAAGAACATCTTCTCTCCAATTTGGAGGAGGTTTTCAGGTTTCAGGAGGGGTTTAGTCTGCACACCTGGAGGCCCAGAGTTGGATTTCCTTGCAGTCTCAGGGATGTCAAGAACAATGAAGAGACCCAAAGAAACCCACACCAAATAGCTGCTGGACATTCCGTTGGCAGCCAGGATACTCTTAACCAATCTTCTAGAAGTATCCGTGGCAAAGAGAGGATAAGGTCTCTGGATTCATACAAAATGGACATCTTGATACCACGCTCCCCCACAAAAATTGCATCTCCTCACCTTGTCGGAAGGAGACATACACCAGTCTCTCGTCAAACTTCTGGACTTGCCGGAAGTTGTTGACCATCTCTCTGGGGGAAGGATCACTCACATGTGTGCAGTACAGAGCTGTCTCCAAAGCCAGCAGCTGAGAAAAAGGGCAAAAACATACCCTGGAGGCACAGTGACACTCCTTTACTTTGCCTGCTTGGGGAAGAGAGCTGTCAGCCCTCACCTCGCCTATCTGAGAGAAGAACCTGGAACCAACCCCCAGATGCTGATGGGTGATGCATTAGAAAGCAGTGGTAAAGCCAAAGAACTGCTCCCTACACCCTGGGGGTGCCTAGGCACTGCTGGGTCTGTCCTCCCACCTTCTGAGGCTCAGGGAAGGTCAGTGTTATTAGTTCCTAATTACCGTGGGTGGGTGGAAGCTCCTCAGCTTCTCCTCTCATGAGCCTGAATTGGAACTCAGCTCTAAATCTGAGGGGCCTGTGGGCTTGTTCTAATGGCCACATCAAAAGGAATAAAAGGAGGAAAGCAAGAGTTTCACAGGCCATCTGACGCCTAGCTCCATGTAACTTCCATACACCCACATAGATTATATAATCCATTTCCAAGGCAGTTTCTGGGTTAGGATGTTACTGCTTCCCCGCACATTTTCTCTCTGATTCATCACGTCTTTATTTCTGTCCACCTACCGCTGCCATTTATCTAGGTTACTCACATCAGAAGCTCATAGTAAAAAAGAAGGAGCAACAGTGATGCCGTCCTGATCTCAGGCAGCAGCAGGGAGGCAGGAGACCATGAGCCAGTGTTTAGTGCTGCCCTGGTCCTGTCTGCTTGTGGAGACATTTTTCTTCTTTGTGACTTTTGGCTGTGGACTAGAACAATGAGTAGTGACCTGGGACTCAGAAGACCTGGCTTTGGGTCTCAGCTTCTCACTAACCAGTGGATGATTCCAAAAGTTTCTTAAACTCTCTTACCTTCATTTCCATCATCTATAAAGTAAGAGGGTTACACATTATTGCTGAGGATTTTATTCCCCGGTTTTGCATTAGACTATGGGTTTCTTGAGGACAGGAACTCTGATTTACTCATTCCTATAATCCCAGAAAGGAGCTCTGGTGGTGCAGTGGTTAAAACATTTGGCCACTAACTAAAAGGTCAGTGGTTAGAACCCACCAGCTGCTCTGCGGGAGAGAGATGAAGCAATCTGCTTCTGTAAAGATTTATAGCCTTGGAAACCCTATGGGGCAGTTCTACTCTGTCCTACAGAGTCGCTATAAGTTAGAATCAACTCAATGGCAAGTGGATGGGGTCTAATCTCAGGTTTGCTGTTTGTTAAATGTTTTAACACAATCCTATCTTTAACCTGCCCATGTAAAGGAACCATGCTCTCTCCTGTCTGGGAAGTGAATACCATCCAACCACTGAGGGCTATGTTAGGAAATACAACTTTACAATGTTTTTTGCAAGCATTCACTTCCCTAGCTTGACTTGGTGGCTCCACTTTTGAAGCTCACTCTGTAATTTCTGCAAGCAGGATGCAAAACTCCAAGAACTGTTGGTGCTGAGTAGATTCCAACTCATGGTGACCTTATGCATGTCAGAGTGAAACCGGCTTCTGGAGAATTTTCAGTGGCTGATTTTTTAGACATAGATTGCCAGCCCTTTGTTCTGAGGTGCTTCTGGACAGACTTGAGCCTCCAACCTCTCTGTCAGCAGCTAAGTGTGTCAACCAAATGCACCACCTAGGAACTCTAGTACTCAAAAACCCCAAAAAATCAAACCCATTGCCATCAAGTCAATTCCAATGCATAGTGACCCCCACTGGGTTTCCAAAGCAGTAAATCTTACAGAGGTAGATTGCCTCATCTTCCTTCCATGAAGTGGCTGGTGGGTTTGAACCGACAACCTTCTGGTTAGCAGTCAAATGTCTTAGGCACTGTGCCACCAGAGCTCCTTCTAGCACTCAAAGGCACCTTCAATATTTGGAGAGATTTTGGATAGCTGCTAATGAGACTCTGAGGAGATCAAGTCAATGAATTATGATAAGTACCAAGGTACAGTGTGGCCTCTGATTCAGATGGGATGACAGTTACCTGTTCCTGGGAAATATGTACAGGGTTTCGAAAAACAGTCCAGAGCACAGTGGGGTGACAAGGAGGTGTGGTCAGAGATCCTCTGTAGCGGTAGTACTCTTCAGGTCTCTCAGGAATCAGTTCTTCAATGTTGAAACCTGGAATGAGCACTTCTTGGCCTGGAGAGATATGTTGGGGGCAATGGTGTTAGCCTCACTCCATATGGCAGAGGTGAGCTGAGCATATGACTGAGCTTAGGAAAGTGAACTAGCCCCATTCTGGGCCATCCAGCTCCAGGATTTCATCACAATGCTGTTCAACAATCTGCTTCCCTTAACCCAGTAAACACAGACAGCACCTGCTCCTGCCTTTGTTTTCCTAAGGTCACATGTTGTTCTTGTTAGCTGCTATGGAGTTGGCCCCCAACTCATAATGACCACATCATGAACTGCCTGGTCCTTCACTATCCCCATGATCAGTTGTGGAATGAACAGTTGTGAACCATAGGGTTTTCAATGGCTGATTTTCCAAAGTAGATCACCAGGCCTTTCTTCCTAGTCTGTCTGAGTCTGGATGCTCTGCTGAAATCCGTTCAGTATCATAACAGTACACAAGCCTCCAATGACAGACATAAGGTTCACTAAATCCTTCTCCAAAGAGAGTGAATAAACAGCCAAGGACCACTCACCTTTGTACTTTACATCTTGAAGGTGACTGAAGATCTTGTCATATGATGGATTGAAGGAGCCCATCTACAACAGAGACCAGGCAGGTGGGTGGAACTATTGGGCTGGGATAGAATTCTAAAAGCTGAACCTGGATTGAGAAATGCTAGTGGAACACTTAGTTGGGGGTACATAGCTACTGCTATGGCAGTCTTCCCTGGAAAATCCACTGTATTAGGACAGTTATGAAGTCACTAGGCTGTTAGGAGTCAGGAGTCTTGTTTTCAGCTGATGGCACCAAGGCTTGAGTGTCCCAAGGCACAAGGTACAGCTTGCTAATCAGTGCTCCTGATTATCTGGCTGAGAGCCTGAAGGTCACAACTAATATGTTCATCTAACTCAGAACCTAAGGGAGCTCTGAGTTCATGTAAGCTAAGTCAGACAGGTAAGCTTGTTGGGAAATGAGGTACATACTTTCTCATTAGGAAAAAAATGCAAGTGAATCACTAGACATTTCCATTTTTGGGGTATGGGATTAAAGACATAATTTATTCCAGGGCCACATACAGGACAGATTGTGGATACCAGTAGTTGCATCAGAGGTTCAGGCATGTAGTAGGGCAGCACTGAATGACCACCTCTCCCTACCAGACTCTCCAACTGGGTGATTCCATGCCTTACGTGAAAGGGCTGAGACAGGGACTCATTTTTCCAGTACCAAAAAGAACATGCCCATTTCTGCTGCCCAGCCACAGAAAGCACTGTCTTTAGGCCAAGCGAGAAAGAAGCCTAGAGGGGAGTACCCTCTGCTTGGGAGGCAAGACAGCCAAACAGGAACAGGTTACCAGAGCCATATAAATCCAACCGACAGGTGTGCATGGAAGAAAATGCCATACTCTCATCTCATTCCTGCTTCAAATTTCATGTAAAAATCTTGTAAACAATTCTTACCTCAATGAGAACAGCTAGGACGGCGAGGCCTTCTGATTTGTTACTGGCGGTGCTGGCATCAGGGTACAAGTCTGAGTTATAATGGACGATATGGAGCTGCAGTGGGAGAAGACTCCATCAGGGGATGAGCTACCTGCAGGAACTTTTCACTTCTGTGGGAGACCTGGATCCAGATGGGAAGGCAGACACCACCCCACCCCACTTCTGCCCCCCAAGCTAGATCAGGCCTCACTGAGCCTCCCATTACCCCTTTTCCCTCAGTCCTCTCTAGACTGCAAACTTTACCTGGGTAGACTGTGTCTATTTTATTCACTCACTGTATCCTCAGAGTCTGATGTGGGCCTGGAACATACCAGGTGCACAATGGATACTGAATGAAAGACTGAATGCATGGGTTCTTAGACTAACCATGAATAAGCTTTGGTGCATTTTTCTCCTTCCTGATTTTTCCTATGGAATGCAGTTGTTTTTTTTCTCCCCCCAACATATGGGGTCGCCATGAGTTGAAATCAACTCAGGAGTAACACTTTTCCCCCCTCTCCATTTTCTGATTGTTTTCCTACGTTTTCTGGAGCCTGAGGCAAACAGCATCATGTGCTGGCTCAGCCTTAGCCCTGGCATCTCTCCACTTAATCTGGAAGCAATGGAGTTAATGAGAACCTCCAGCTGGAAACTTTATCATAACAATATCCAGCTGGCAGGACATGTATTTATCCCTCAGGTGGAGAAAATCAGAGCATGGCTTTTGTGAAGGTTTCATCATCCATATTTTAAGAGGCCACGAAGCAGGAATGTTATTCCATGAACACAGGCTTTTATCTTTACAAAATAAAATTCGAAACACCTTATTTTTCAGAGCAGAAATCACTTAGCATTATTAAAGTGAGGAAACAAGCAGTTTTTGAGAAATCCTGGCCTTAAAAAGTATAGATAAGACTCAAGACCACTGTTAGGACAAAATAGGAGCTCTGGTAGCGTAGTGCCTAAGGCATTTGACTGCCAACCAGAAGGTTGGCAGTTCAAAGCCACCAGCTATTCTGTAGAAGGATGGGGCAATCTATTTCTGTAAAGATTTATCGCCTTGGAAATGCAATGGCGGTTACTATGAGTAGGAATTGACTTGATGGCAGTAAATTTGGTTTGAATTAGGACAAATTCTGACAATGTTTAACCTGATTTTTAATCCTAGATAAGTATCAACTTATCTCCAAAAATCTTTATAAGTAGCTACATCTCTATATATAATAAATGCATTTTTGCTGATTCTTTGTCTCTTGGGACTATGACAGATATTGAGATTTTATGTTTCTTTCCTTTATCTTCATCTCTTTTCCATGTTAAAAAAACCAAAGCCAAATTTACTGCCATCTAGTCAATTCTGACCCATAGTGCACCCCATTGGGTTTCCAGGGCTATAAATCTTTACAGAAGTAGATCGTCCCATCTTCCTTCCACAGAGCAATTGGTGGGTTTGAGCCAATGACCTTCTGGTTAGCAGCCAAATGCCTTATCCACTACATCATCAGAGCTCCTTTTTCCATGTTATGTGGCTGTAAATAGAATTCAAGTGTATTTTATTGAATACAGTTTAAAGTTCCCATTTTGAACTTTTCAAGTGGCCCTTTCTAATTTTAAAAAATTACCTCAAATTATTTAGTGCTTTATGTGGTCCCCTATTAAGGATTTCTTAGGGGTCTCCACTTTACCACCTTTCCCTCTGAAGGGACCTAGCATGCCAGACTGCCCCCACACCATCTTGGCCTGGCATCTCTTTGAGAAGCAGAGCAGCATTCTATTTGGCTCAAATGCCAAGCACCTAGGTTCTTGTTTCATTCTACAGCTGACCTTTGAGCTCGTGGTCCATCTTGCCATTTTTCTTCTTGTGTTCAGATTAGATCAAGAGGAAGTGAAAACTAATACAGGCATAAGTAATTCCCTACAGAGGAATCCAGAAAGATTCTTACAGAGACTGAATACAGAAGAACAGTTACTCTTTCAAGGACCCTCCAGAAGGAAGCTACCATTTTAGGTTACTTGACAGGTTTCTGATTTGTTGGCATTTATGGTCCATCTTCACCAGGCCAAGAGTCTGGCAACATGGCTTAATGGCAGAAAAGAATAACAAAAATACTAGAGATATTTCAAAATGTACAAACCCTTGCAGTCTATACCCTAACCCTTTCTTTATTTCTCATGGAGAAGTAGAAGCCTTCACCTTGCAGTCAGCCTAAAAGAAATTGTAGTCCCTGAGGTTCAAAGAGAGGCCTGATCTCAACTATGTGGCCAGCTGATCTGGCCAGAAGTATATCCCCTATGTATTTGGTGTGTAGTGGTTAAGGCATTTTGGCTGCTAACCAAAAGGTTGTTGGTTTGAACCCACCAGCTGCTCTGTGGGACAAAGATAAGGCGGTCTGCTTCCATAAAGATTTACAGCTTTGGAAACCCAATGGGGGTCACTATGAGTCTAAATGACTCGATGGCAGTGAATTGAGTATACTTGGAACTAGATGAACAGTCAACCTGAGATGCAAAGCAGTTCAGCAAGTCTGAACAGAGAATGGATAAACTGTTATTTACTGTGGGCTTCCCAGGCTAATCAGTAGCATTTATCTCCTTGTAAGTAATAATAATAACCAGTTGCCATTGAGTCAACTCTGATTCACGGCCACCCCGATATGTGTCACACCAGAACTGAATTCTAATTTTCAGTGGGTTGTTCACTGGCTGATTTTATGGAAGTAGATCACCAGGCCTTTCTTCTGAGGCACTTTTGGGTGGGCTCAAACCTCCAACCTTACAGGTAGCAGACAAGTGCTTAACCATTTGTAACACCCAAGGATGTCCATCTCCTTGTACTGTTCTATAAACATTCAGAACCACACCCCTGAGTTCAATCCTATGGAGGCTCTGAAATGGAGCAGTGCTCTTCCCCTAAACTGTGATGCAGGAACAATGCTTTGCCCCTCTTCCCATTTTCTCTTGGAATTCTGGATTAGCATCTCAGGTGACATAGCACAAAGCTGTGACATCCCAAGCTATCCCTCAGCGAGTCTTGGATAGCCATCATGCCCTGCACATTATAATGCCAATCATCACTTAATCTGTGGCCAGGAAAAAAGTGGCTCAGGATCTAGGTCTCCATGTTCCAAAGCACAACCCATGCCCAGGGAGAGGAAAGATGAGATGAGAAAGACATATGGAAACAGCATGACCTATGAAGAAAGCAGGGCTTCAAACTAGTTCATTCTGGTTCTGACACCCTGCTGAGAATTTGCATTTCCGCTCCAGATGTACAGAATCCTGAATCTACATTTTAACAATATCCCCAGGGGGAGTAATTAACTCTGTGGGATGTGTCAGCCACAGCCTCTGCCAGCCAGGTCCCACTCACCTCAGCAGCAAAGTGCCTCCCTCCGATTGTGTGCTCAGAGCCGTGGGGGTTGTTCTGGTTCCCCCAGTGCAGGTGCAGCTGTGTGGCCCTGTAGCGGGACTGCAGGCCCTGGATGTACATGTCTGGGATCAGGTTCAGCTTCACTGCAGGGAGTGGAGGAGCAGCCTTTAGAGCCATGGCCAGCTGAGTGCTGTCAGAGGGCAGCCACAGAGGCAATACCTGCCTGGGGCTCAGAAAGAGGGGCACGTGGATGCAGTGAGGTAGAGACCATAGAGTTGCACAGGTCAGGAACCTGGGCTCTTTCCCCAAGAACATCCCTGTTTCCAGTGTTACTCCACTGGCCCTGGCACCTTCATGACTCCCCTTGGAAAGTGATGCAAAGACATTCATAGTAGATGTGGATGAGATGTTAATTTACGTAGTCCATGGATTGTTGTTGTTGTTATGTGCCGTCGAGTCGGCCCCGACTCATAGCGACCCCTCCTTGGGTTTCCGAGGCAGTATCACCATGGAAGCAGGATTGCCCAACCTTCCTTCCGAGGAGTGGCTGGTGGGTTTGAACCGCCAGCCTTCTGGTTAGCAGTCAAGTGCTTTAGCCACTATGCTACCAGAGCTCCCAGTCCATGGATTAGATACTGGCTATAAAGATTGGTTATTTTGTCACCATTGCTAATGTCAGATGGAGCTTGGTTGAAAGCAGAGAATACCAGAAAGATGTTTACCTGTTTTATTGACTATGAAAAGGGATTCAATTGTATGTATCATAACAAATGAATAACATTGCAAAAAAATGGGAATTCCATAACACTTATTTGTGTTCATGTGGAAGACCTGTACAGAGACAAAGAGACAGTCACTTGAATAGAACAGGGGATATTGCTTGTCTTAAAATCAGGAAGCTTCAGGGTTGTATCCTTTCACCATATTTATAATCCAAGAAGCTGGACTATATGAAGAAGACAGACGCATCAGGATTGGAGGAAGACTCATTAACAGCCTGGGTCCACAATCAATGACTACGAGAGCAGCAGTCAAGAAATCAAACGAAATACTGCATTGGGCAAATCTGCTGCAAATGACCTCTTTAAAATGTTAAAAAGCAAAAACTGTCACTTTGAGGATGAAGTGACCTCAACGCATGCTATTTTCAATTGCCTCACATGCATGTGAAAGTGGACAATGAATAAGGAAGACCAAAGAATCGATGCCTTTGAATTATGCTGTTGGTGAAGAAGACTGAACATACCAGGGACTGGCAGAAGAATGAACAAATCTGTCTTGATGGAAGTATAGCCGGAAAGTTCCTTAGAAGCAAGGATGTCAAGACTTTGCCTTACATACTTTAGACATGTTATCAAGAGGGATGAGTCCCAGGAAAAGGACATCATCTTGGTAAAGTAGCGGGTCGACAAAAAAGAGAAAGACCCTCAACAAGATGGACTGACACAATGGCTTCAATGATGGGCTCACACATGGTAACGACTGTGAGGATGGTACAGAACCGGGCAGTGTTTCATTCTGTTGTACACTGTCACTATGAGTCAGAACAACTCGATGGCACCTAACACCAATAACGTAAAGTTTGGACCTTAGTGAGGCACCTTTCACACTTTAGAATTCTATAACAATAGCAGTAATAATTGTCATTTATGAAGCATGTACTATAAGCTAGGTCTGGACATGTACTATAAGCTAGGTCATATTCTCTCATCTTCACAGCAGCCTAGCAAGAGAGCTATCAGTATACCCGTTATCCAGATGAAACCTCAACAAGGTTAAAATTCTACCCCAGAATCTCATGACTCGTACGTAGTCAAGCTAGGATTCAAATCTAGGTTTGTCTGACTCTAAAGACTGGGTCCAAAGAAGAATTGATGCTTTTGAGTTGTGGTGCTGGCGAAGAATGCTGTGAGTACCATGGTCTGCTAAAAGAACTAACAGATCTGTCCTGGAGGAAGTGCAGCCGGAATGCGAGAATGGTCAGACTTTGTCTCACGTACTTTGGTTGTATTGTCAGAAGGTCAGAAGGGACCATTCCCCGGAGAAGGATGTCATGCTTGATAAGGTGGAGGGTCGACGAAAGAGGGGAAGGCCCTCAACAAGATGGATTGACACAGTGGCTGCAACAATGGGCTCAAGTATAGCAAGCCAGTGGAGCTGGCACAGGACCAGGTGGTGTTCTGTTCTGCTGTGCATGGGGTCGCTATGAGTCAGATATGACTCGACAGCACCTAACAACAACAACAACAACAACAAAGACTGGGTAGTCCCCACTGGACTGAGTGGTCCTGTGAATAACTCCTGATGTCCCAGAATTTGTGCCAGCAGAACAGCCAGTGGGCCAAAGGACTCAGGCCCATCCTCTACCCTATGCCAAGAGATGAGCTTCTTCTGAGAGGTGCTGTCCTGGAGAACTCCCAAGCTGCTATAGACTGAATTGTGTCCCTCAGAAAGATATGTTCAAGTCATGACCCCTGCAACCTGTGAATGTGATCCTGTTGAGAAACAGAATCTTGTAAGAGGTTATCATGAGGTCCTACTGGAGTAAAAAAACTAAAAAATAAACCTATTGCTATTGAATCGATTCTAATTCACAGCAACCCTGTATGACAGAGTAGAACTGTCCCCCAGGGTTTCCACAGTTTCTTTACAGAAGCAGACTGCCACATCTTTCTCTTGTGGAGCTGCTGCTGGGTCTAAACCACCAACCTTTTGGTTAGCAGCCAAGTGCTTAATCACTGTGCCACTAGGGCTCCTTTATTGGAGTAGGTAGGTCCTACTCCTATATAACTGGTGTCCTAATAAAAGAAGAGAAGATACAGAGACAGGGAGACAGAAGAAGGCCATTATGTGGCAGTGCAGCTTGCCTGGAGCTACCAGAAGCCAGGAGAGAAGAATGAAACAGATTCTCTCTCAAAGGCTCAGAAGGAATCGATATAGCTGACACCCTAATCTCAGACTCCCAGTATCCAGAATTGTGAGACAATAAATTTCTGTTCTTAGAGCAAAAGCTACCCAGATCTGAGGTATTTTGTTACAGCAGCCCTAGGAAACTAATACACAGTCCCAGGACCCCCAGCATTCCTGGTGAAAGAGGCCCAACCATCCTAACGACCTCCCTCTGCCCTTCCTCATGAGTTCCTCAGTGGAGTCCCTTCCTGCTAGATGGGAGAGCAGGGCAGGGAACCAAGGGAAGCTCAGTGTCCCTCAGGTCCTTGAGGTCTCTACTCACCTGAATGTCCATTATTGGTCAGGGTAAACCGCTCATCAGCAGACACATTGTAGCCTTGGAACTCGAGAGGTGTGAGTCTGGCATCGTACTGGAGGATGTCACTGTGCAGGTCAATGGGGGACTGTAGCAGGCCCCCACAGGATGGATATTTCTTGGACCAGCTCTCCTCTCCATCGGGACCTGGAAGGAGAGATTCAAGCCCAATATTTTGTGGTTTTCCACATAGGATTTTTTCCTTCACCTTCGTACAATGGCTCCTTTCTTCCAGAAATAAATGCTTCAAGGCCCAGAGATCTCAGCCTATAAAATAAAGTCCAGCAAACACTTAAAGACCACCTTCTCTTAAAGTGATGTGGGAAAGAACTAGAGAAGCCCCATACCAAAGACAAGAGCCCACTGAATTCTGCTTTTTTTTGTACATTGTTCATTTTTTGACAAAATACACAATCTCTCCACATGAAGATCTGTTGACTTTTAGCAATTTAGTAACTTTATTATTGATATGAATTAGGAATTGCTGGGGCCCTTTGGGCCACCATGGTGAACAACAATACAGCCCCTGCTCACTCAAGCTGCATTCTACTGGGGAAAAATGTATTGGCTCCACCAGGTTGCCCCATGGTGGACTACAGTGCCAGGTCTTTGAGGCTGGTGGATTTACAGGTATGATCTTCCTGATAGGAAACTCTAGAGGACATTGACTCCTTTTTTTTTTTTTTAATTTTATTGTGATTTGCGTGAAAATTTACAGATCAAATTCATCTTCCATACAGCATGACATTGACATTGTCTCATGACATTGACTGTAATCTCCCACAATGCAACAGTTCTCCTCCCACTTCCTCCCCATAGCCACCTCTTCCCTGTATCCTTCCCTCCTACGCACTCCTGCCCCCTGAGCTGTCTCCCTATACGTACACAGCCCTTCTATTCTCCCATGATTGATCTCTCCACAGAGTGTATCTACCTAATGTAAATGTTCAGCTCATATGCCTGTCTTTTGTTTGGCTGGAAGCCACAGGAGTGGGTTCAATTCCAGACCTGAAGGGCAGCGAGGGGCCAAAGTCTCAGGGGTTCCACCAGGTTCTATCAGATCAGAAAACCTGGTCCCATTTTTTTTTTTTTTAAATGATTTTGAGTTTTATTCCACATTGTTCTCCCTCTCTGTCCAGGATCTCCTACATAGATCCCCCTCCAAGTGGTTGACAGTGGTAGCCTGGCACCATCTAGTTCTTCTGGTCTCATAGTCTATAGGCTGAGGATTGCTTAGGGTACCAGTCCCTTGGACTAATTGTTTCCCTTCGTCTTTGGTTTTCTTCATTCTTCTTTTCTCTGGATGAGGAGAGACCAATCATTGCATCTAGATGGCTACTTGCAAGTTTTTAAGATCCCAGTTACTACTTGTAGAGGACATTGACTCTTGATACCTACATGTAAGTATGTATAGGACCCAATCTAATATGGAGGCTTGAAAAATGTCATATAATTATAGGCCTGGAATCACAGAGGTAATGTAAGGTTTAGCCTGGGAAAGAGTATGACAATTCTAGTCATTCCTTGGAAGGAAGACTAGGCAATCTTCTTCCATAGAGATACCGCCTCAGAAACCCAAGGAGGGTTCACTATGAGTTGGAATCAATTAGATGGCAATGAGTTTGGTTTGGCTTTTTGATGAACTAATTATTACAATATAATTGACAAACTATCAGTGAGGAAGAACAGAATTTAAACAAAAAAAATATCCTCTAGGGCTCAGGCTTCTTGCTAACTACCAGATAACATTTGGCTCCTCTGTAAATGAAAATAAACAATCCTCCCTTTCAGATAAACTTTCCTATTCCCACAGGGAAAAGTCTTTAAAGAATGTAAAGCTATGTAAAAGATTATCTCCCATGGTAATTAAACAGATTTTCAGGCTGAGGTTTCTCCAGAAAAGCAAATAATTGGCTTGTCATGGCTAGTTAGGGTAGAACCATGGTGCTCTAAGGGCTCCATGGAGTTGGGAACCAAGATTCGTCATCTGGGGTCCATCAATCACTATTTTGGCACAAGGAAAGGTGTTTAACAAGAGCAAAGGGGGAAGGAACACCATTTCTTCTGGGGACTGTTACATAGACAACAGACTACAAGAGTGTAAGTGTGTATACCTTGCCCCTCAGAATACCCACCTCCTCCACCTTATCTTCTGCCTAGATGCCCTCATCTAAGAGTAGTGAGAGTCAGAAGAAATACTTGGTGCTACCACCAGCTGCTGCCTCGTAGGGATTGTCCAGCTCATAGCAGAGCCATGGAGGGTAGAACTCTGCCACAGAGGGTTTTCAACAGCTGATTTTTTGCAAGTGGATCACTAGGCCTTTCTTCTGAGGTGGGTAGACTCAAACCACCAACCTTTCAGGTAGCAGTGGAGCTGTTAACCGCTTGTGCCACTCAGAACTCCACTTGGTACCCATATTGCTTTAAAATGCTAAGAGGAATCGGTCTCTGGCTTAGATCTTTTAGGCCCTGTCACATTGGAACCTTATTATTTTTTCAGACTGTCAACCTTTGGAATATTCTTTTGGAAATGTTCAAGCTTGAAAATGACTTCAGAATCTCCAGTCTTTCACTATATATGTCAAAGTTTCTCTTGAGCTATACTGCTTTCATTTCCAATGCTTTGGGCTCTGAACTCATGGCAGCTCAATCACCAAGATGGCAACTGGGGGAGAAGAGGCCTGGAAGATGCCCAAGTAGTTGCTCCAGGGGCAAATTGGGGTAAAACAGGAAGCAGAGGGCAAAACTGAATTCTTCAGGGACCAGAGGGAGCAGAGATGAAGCAACCATGATGTATCATGTAAACCCTGAAGGTTGGAAAGAGGCACAGCTGCTGGGCAGCGAAACTTCCAGAGTGAGGCTGCCAGTCTTTCCTGTTCAGACTGCTCCCAATACAGCCTGGGCCCCGAGCCAGGGCAGCAGAAGCTGCCAGCAAGGCATGAGTGGAAAAACAGGGAGTTAGAGTCGTAACAATGAGAAGATTTCCCCTTGCACATGACTAAGAGGAAGAAGGCAAAAAGAAAGACTTTCTTTTCTCAGAGCTAAGGTTATAAAAGATTTCATCAAAAGGGTATGTTAGTGATAACTGAGAACTCCTTGAAGGCTGGGACATCTCATTTTAATCTCTATGGTCCCATGTTGTGAGTAGGATCACACACACAATAGGCATTTGATACACATTTCCCCCAAAGATTTTAACCCTAAAAAACAGAAAGCTTGGGAAATGGTTATCAGGAAAAATTTGAAAAATAAAATCACCCTAAAAACTTCTTATTGGAAGATAAGGGCCAAATTGGACTTCCAACCAAACCAAAACCAAACTCACTGCCATCGTGTTGGATCTAACTCACAGCAACCCCTTCTTGGGTTTCCAAAGCGGTATCACTATGGAAGTAGATTGCCCAACCTTCCTTCTGAGGAGTGGCTGGTGGGTTTGAACCGCCAGCCATCTGTTTAGTAAAGTGCCTTAGCTACTATGCTATCAGAGCTCCTAATTGGACCTCCTGGGTGGTACAGATAGTTAGGCTCGAGTCTACCCAGAGGCACCCTGGAAGAAAGGCCTGGCAATCTATTGCTGAAAAATCAGCCATGGGGTGGTGGTGGGGATGCAATGACCCATGTCATTTTAGTTTTGTGTATTTCACTGTACATAAATTATATTTCAATCAAATATATTTTTAAAAAAACAGAATAACTCATGTGGCCTATAGAATGAGATGTACCATATTCATATAATTACAGTACAGCTTAATTTCTTATTTTTAAGATATAAATGCAAGTTCTACATTTTTTCCCTGTTTTTTTTTTTTTTAAAAACAGCCATTGAAAAACCTATGGAGCACAGTTCTATTATGACACACGTGGGGTTGCCATGAGTTGGAATCCACTCAATGGCAACTGTTAAGTTGGGCCAAATTAGATATTTTAGAGCAGAAAAGACTAAGGATACTAAAGACAGTAGAGTTGCTATTGGCACACTCTCCTTGGAAAGAGAAGCAGCTACAATGGGTGGGAGAATAGAGAGAACTGGAGTGTAGATACCAGCTTTCACCATCCCCAAGTAAGTGACCTTGAATAGGTCATGTTCCCTGCCAGAGTCTCTGTCGCCTTTTATACGAAGAGAAGGGTTAGACAGATACTATGTTCTGGAATGTCCCTCTGGATTTCAGGGTCTGAGCTTTATTAAGACTATTAGGCTAAGCACCTTCACCCTCTGTAACAGGCAAGTTTGAACGAGTTGAAGAGGGTTACTCATGCCAAGGCAGCTCCTGAATGTGTGACAAGATGTCCAGTGGAGACCAGCTGTGGGAATGAGGGCACTGGGCACTGCTGCTCCTCAGGCTCACTGGAGAGCAGACAGCCCTCTTTCTCTACCTAAAACATATGGCCACCTGTCCTTGAGTACCAGTCACAGGCCTTCAGGGAACCCTTGGGCAGCTGGGTCTAAAAAGCCTTTTCTCCTCTTCTGCCTCTCCCTGCTTCTTCAATTATCATCATCATCACTATTATTATTTTAGTAGTTTTGATCCTTACAACCCTATGGGGTAAGCAAGACAAGAATCATCCATTTTATAGGGGGGAATTCATTGTTTAGGAAATACTATCTGTTTAGGGTAATGCAAAACTTGGCAATGGATACTGGTGATGGTGGGACAACATGATTAATGTAATTAGTGTCACTGAATTGTACATATAAAACATATTGAATCAGCAAATGTATTTATATATACATATATTTGTTGTTGTTATGTGCCGTCAAGTCGGACCTGACTCATAGCGACCCCTCCTTGGGTTTCTGAGACAGTTCAGTTTTTTTACAACAACAATAGCATTCTAGCTTATGGAGCTCTGGTGGCACAGTGGATAAGACGTTTGGTTGCTAACCAGAAGGTTGGTGGTTCAAACCACCAGCTGCTCCTCGGAAGGAAGATGAGGCAACTTAGTTCCATAAAGATTTAGCCAGTGGGGGTTGCTATGACTTGGAATTGACTGGATGGCATTGGGTTTAGTTTTTCAGTTTAGCATTCCAGTTTAAGGAGCCTCCGTGGTGCAATGGTTAAGTGCTTGGCTTCTAATCCAAAGCTTGGCAGTTTGTACCCATGAGCAGCCCTGAGAGAGAAAAGATCTAGTGATCTGCTCCAATAAAG